CTTGTTTCTAAATGCCTCAGGAACCATTATTATTTATAGATATTAGCAAAATTAAAGGAAGATGCAGAAACAATAGAACTTTATTTTCCTTATATGCGTGTTCGGTACCTCATTTTTTAGGTTTAGTTCACCCGTTTCACCGCTAGATGGACGCTCTTTTTAAGGTCCATAAATTGCATTATTTTTCATTTTTTAATATAACTTTATTAGATTACACTAAAGACATTTTTTTGACCTTACTTTGATTCTGGAACAATTTGAGACCACGAATCATACGTAAAAATACTTTATTCCGTGCAAAAATGCTATTTTCAATCTTGTTAATTTCACATTGTATCAGTAGATGGCTTCTGCTATACTGTTCAGACAGAAAGCGCGCGAAGACGAATATTTTAAAAAATCTATAGGTACAATGCCTTCAAAGTAGGAGTACATTAGTTTGAAAATTAGAAGTAACTTTTTTAGGTATCAATTCAATGATTAATAATGCAATAAAGTATTCGTTTTTGTGTTTCTTGTTACAGATTTAATAGTTACGATTCCTTAACTAATTGTATAAATTTAATTTAAAAATTCAATGATAGAAAACAGTAATTTTTAAACAAACTTAATAGACAAATAAATTTAGAATGACTATGATATACATAACTGCACATTCTTATTAATTATAAATTACTATATGGGTAATAATACATTACTATAAGTAACAATGCTATAATAATAATAATAACAATAATAACAACAACAACAACAACAACAACAATAATAACAGTAACAATAGCAATAGCAATAGCAATAGCAATAGCAATAGCAATAGCAATAGCAATAACAATAACAATTCCAATAACAATAACAATAGCAATAGTAATAGCAACAACAATAACAACAAGAATAATAATTATAATAATAATAATAATTATTATTATTATAAAAAATTAATATAATATAATTATTATAATTATAATATAATATAAGTATAATAATAATTATATATAATAATTATATAAAATATAATATTACTTAGAATAATAATTTATAATATAATATTACTTAAATTACTTAGTTAATACTTACAGTTTAAATGTGTAAGTGTTATTAGTTACAGGACTTTACTGGTATAATAATAATAATAATTATATTATATAATTATATAATTATATATAATATAATTATTATATAATAATTATATATAATATAATTATTATATAATAATTATATAATATAATTAACATAATATAATTATATAATTATTAATTATATAATTTATAATAATAATAATAATAATAATAATAACAACAACAATTATTATTATTATTGGTATAATAATAATAATTATTATTATTGGTATAATAATAATTATTATTATTATTAATAATTATTGTTATTATTATTATTATTATTATTATTAATAATTATTATTATTATACCAATAAAGTCCTGTAACTAATAACACTTACAAATCTAAACTATAAGTATTAACTAAGTAATTAAGTATTAACAATACTATTAATTAAGTATTAATTAAGTAAATAAATATTAACAATAATACTCACAAATTTAAACCGTAAGTATTATTAATTAAATTGAGATACTATATCACAATTCCAATTAACCAAATTTCAAAAGCTGACTAACACAATACAGGTAGTAAACAGAAGGTCCATTTTGAGTGGCATCCATTTTGAACCTCCTGTTTCACGTTGAAACCGACTATTCCGCATTTGTCGCGTTAATAAGTTCCGATTGTTCGTCGGAACCAGCTTCCTCGTCACGCTGGCTGCGTTCAATGTGTTAAAATTCGTGTCGCAGGGACGTATGACGCGGAGGTAATTAAGTGGAGGAGCAAAGAGAGCCTGGAGGTTGTGCAAAAGACGCGACCCAAGAGCCGCGGAGGTCAGAACTCGTGACCTACTTTATCCATCGACAACTGCTTCCTACTCGAACAACATCTTATTCTTCCCTTGTTCAACGTGGCAAACGTTGGCAAGCATCGACGAGAGGAAATATTGTCTCCGGAAAAAAATTGTGTCATTAAGCGCGAGTGCTAATCTCGTAACAGAGACTTACTTTTACTCTCTGATCGTGAGAAGCGCTAGTAACGCGCATGATCGGATTGAAATTTATTCTTGTAACAATTTTACTTTTTTAAATTGTGGCAATTTGTTAATCATAAATGGAGACACACGTTTTCAAGGTCATTTGAAATATTTGTATTTAAATTTTATGGCTAGCATTTTATAGTTAGTAATATAATTTGCAAATGCACTGTGTAATTAGCTAATAAGAGTTTATCTATTCATATCTAGATCAGATTCTTATCTGTTTCTGTCGTATATCAAGGAGTTGAATAGGAACTCTGAGGAGGAGTGTTTCTACCCTTAGGTAAAGCCTCAGCCTTTACAGATAGGGTGAACCGATCATTCAAAACTGATTTGGGACTATTTAGAACGATGTGGTTCGAAGTAGACCGATGTAGATCTGGGTCGATCCAAAAGCAAAGTATACCAATGTTCCAATTTTCCAAGGTCCCAACTTCTCAAGGTTCCAATTTCCCAAAGTCCCAATTTCCCAAGGTCCCAATTTCCCCACGTCTCAAATTTCTAAAGTCCCCATTTCCCAAGGTCCCAAATTATCAAGGTTCCAATTTCCCAAAGTCCCAACTTCTCAAGGTTCCAATTTCCCAAAGTCCCAATTTCCCAAAGTCCCAATT